ACGATGTGTATAAGAGACTGATATTGCTTAGCGACCTACGTAGGCCGGCTTACACGTGTTTCCTTAGGTAACCTTCCCGCTCTCCTTCTCTTCGTGGCCTTAAAAAGGTCAGGTCGTAATAGTAACCCTCTAATGAAGCTTAGTAAGACGTCGCCTCTAGATAGGATTGATCTATATCACTAAAGATTTCCCTTTCAAGTTTAACTAACTTATCCTGGGTACTATTTGGCTAGCCCTACCTAGCTAAGAGTGAGGACTTGACCCTCGATAGTATAATAGTCCTATATAGGTAAGATAAAGTCTTAAGGGAAATACCGAAGGAGACATCGAGTGTATAGTGGGGTATATAGGTTAGTGCGGCTTGGAGCGCTTCCTGTTCAACTATATATTGCTCCGTGACATCTGTGGTAGGAAGATCCGGAGAGAAGGCTGGACTGAGTTCAATCTCTCCCCTAGGTACAGCTTGGAACCAGCTAGAGGTGCAGCCGACAATGTGAAGACACTGGAAGATTTATAGTAGAGTCATACTTATAGAGTTTGAAAGCCACTATATTTAGCCTCTAGTCAACCTAATGACCGTCTTGTAGATAAGTAAACCTTCGTACCCTCTTCCCTAGTCCGCACCGCTGAAAACCTATTAGGTATGGTCAGCCGCGAATAGCATACTCCCCAATCTATTCACGATATAAGCTTACCTCGATCGTGGTTAATGTGATTGCGGCCGTAAGCAGCGCGTGCTTACTCTCATCTGGCTCTTCTGTCGACTGACACGTAGTTTGCTTGGCTGAGATTATCTTCTTGATCATAGAAGTGGCCTGTTCATGATGCTCCCTTACTTGATCTCGGTACAGTTGACGGTGGCTTGGTGTAAGTTGCGCTTTGTTGAGAGCAGCAACTGCCAAAATTGCGTGCGACAAGGCTTGCTTAGCAGGTGAGTTTCGAGCTTGGACTGCAAGCGGGAGATAGAGTCGAAGGTAGGTATTCATTGTCGGGGCCGAGGTTGGCATCATCATCTCGCAAACATGGGTTCGGTAGTGTTGAAGCAATTCGCGATTTTCCGTCGACAACTCGGGCCCACCTATGTATGCGGGCGGAACTCTATTGAGGATCTTCTCCGGCATCAGAGCATGCGATAAGACGTGTACCGTTCTGGAGGACATTCCAATACCATAATCAGGTGTCATCCACAATTTCCTTTTCCGGTCGGGTCCCGGTTCATCTGCAGTGACGCGATGCACCCGTTGTGGGGTACACAGCGTTGTAGGGGTTTCCGGTTGAGTGTCCGACTGAAGACTTGCTGGAGAAGGCAGACGGAAGGAGAAGCCAAAATAGTCCTCGTCGTCCAGCAACCTCGTCATTGTCGCCAAGTCTGGCCATGTGAACGGAGTCTGAGACTCATTGTATTGGTCGACAAGTTGAACGGGGCCTTGCGCAAGGACATCAGGATCAGGCCAACTTTGCCCGTTGAGCATTGGACGACTCTCGGGGAGGCTACTTTCCATCAATGTCGCAGGACAAGCATCACTGAAGTTTGGTAAAGGCCGTTGAGAGGGTCTTGGTGCTCGATCCGATAGATCCTCGTGGATGGAAGCCGCCTTATAACCGCCGCATATGTACCGTCGGGATCTCTCGCAATTATGGCAAGTCGGCTCGTGAAGATCACACTGGCATAATTAGACGGCCTCCCAGCTGCCGATGGCTTAAGCGCGAAACGCACCTTGATCTTTCTTATGTGGCAGTTGTGGCAGCCCTTTTATTCGTTTAGCAGGGGCATGAGAACGAATGCTGAAAACCTGGGACTTGCCGAAAAGACCTTGCCTCCCCGTCGCCGCTTTCGAGGCGGCAGAGACGTCTCCGTGTCATTAGCACCGAAGAGAAAATCTGAACCTGGGTCGCCGTCAGTGGTACACCAGAAGTTCTGGAGGCGTGGTCCACATACTGAATGGCATGGAGATTGAGCCCTCAACTGCTTGCTGACATTCAGTGGAGAACAGATCTACCGCAGAAGCTCGTCAAAATGGTTGAGGAACCAGAGTCGCGTGTAACGCGAGGACAGTTATCATCGAAAGTGAGAACGTGTGAAGTTGGTTGTAGGGTCTGGAAACTCTATTCCATCAAAAGGAGGGCGCCAGGCCGCTGTTTTCCGGAGACTTGGCGTTGAGGACGCGAGGGCATCTATCTATCTGCACTCACCAACCATTGGACTTCAACCGGGAGTTGACCAAGTTCAGCCGAGTGCGTTATCTATGACGATCTGTCGGCTCTCGGCAACCCCACAGGGCGTAATGTAACATGAGCCATTCGCGCCGAAGATTGATCCACTTGTCTCCCCCAGATTTGAAAATGTTTCCTTCTCTGGCTGAGAAGCTGTATGCTTCGCAACCTCCAATCAATACCTCCAGTGTCTGGAAGTATGTCTCTGTCCTCTCGGTGCACGGGCACATTTGGCTAACTGGTCTCAAGCCGAACAGAGGTACGACCTATCGACGGGTTTGTCTATGCCATAAGCCCCTTCAACTTCACGGCACTCGCCGTCAACCTGGTCATTGCGCCTCTGATTGTGGGAAATGTGGTCGTTTGGAAACCCAGCCCGGGAGCGATTTACTCAAGTTGGCTCTTCAATGAGATCATGATTGAAGCCGGGTTGCCGCCGGGCGTTTTGCAATTCCTGCCCGGTGATGCTGAACTTGTGACTGGAGCCGTTTTCTCGAATCCAGACTTCGGAGGACTGCATTTCACAGGAAGTACAGTTGTTTTCAAGAGCCTCCTCGGCAAAATCGGCTCCAAAATGGACTTTTGGAAATCGTATCCGCGTGTCGTCGGTGAGACAGGTATGGATACTTGCCTCCCCCAAACCACATTGAGAACACGATTGACCGTTTTTACTTAGGTGGGAAGAACTTCCATCTGATTCACTCTTCCGCCGCTGTCAGGAACGCCGCGCTGAAGTCGGTACGAGCAGCCTTTGAGTACCAGGGTCAAAAGTGCAGTGCTCTATCTCGAGTATATGTCCCAGCCTCCCTAGCCGACTCTTTTAAACGTGTCTTGGTTGAGGAGACCGAGGCCCTCACAATGGGTGAAGCTTTCACAGATTTTATTGGGCCTGTCATCAATGAAACAGCCTTCAAGAGGGTCACGGGCTATATTCGTGAGGCCATGGAGTCTCCCGGTATCACCGTTCTTGCTGGTGGCCAGTTCGACGACTCCAAAGGATGGTTCATCAGGCCGACCATTGTCGAAACCCAAGACCCCATGTCCAAATTCATGAAGGAAGAGATATTTGGCCCGTTCATGTGTGTCTACACCTACGATGACAAGGATTTTGGCCCCACTATCTTCCGGCTGATTGACGACACGACCGAATATGCACTCACTGGTGCCATATTTGCGAAGGATCGAGCAGCGATCATTGAGGCGACCGAAGCGCTCCGGTTTTCAGCTGGCAATTTCTACATCAAGTAAGTGACGCCTCATTACTTCAGCGCCGTAGTGACTGTAACTGACAATGGAAGTGATCAATGTACCGGTGCGATGCCTGGACAACAACCGTTTGGTGGCTCTCGAGCCAGTGGAACCAATGACAAGTGTGGTACAGTGGGGTTGTTGAGTCGGTTTACATCTCAAAGAACGATCAAGGAAAATTTCCACGTCATTGACAGCGTCTTGTATCGGTCCAACATGGCATAAAGGAGCTCAAGTCTCGCTCTTATGACACGAGAACGATGGCTGCTGTCGACAAAAGTGGCTGGGATTCCTTCACCCGCAATGGGTACGAGGTACATAATAATGGGTACCTTGAGGGCCCTAGATAGGCAAAAACGAACTATTCACATTCGACAGCTTCCTTGTTCAGTCACAGCTGCACGCAGGTGCCTATCGGCTCCCTTGTTGGCAAGGGATGACTACCGTGGCGCCAACTGCGTATGCAAAGTAACTGAGCCGTGCCCGCAGGTATGACCAATGCTAGAAATCCCTCGGGAAGCAAGGACAGACCCACCTTCTCCCACAATGGTCACGCTCCAAGATTGATACTGCTTAATGCAGCCATCTGCGTAGTCACCTGATCTCTAGTATTGACCTTCGCTCGGCTTCAGATCTTGTTCCGTCCCACTGCTATCTATCGAGTCTATCATTCATTACTAATTGCGTGACGTGACGACTATTCAATAGTCGGGGCGAATCCTTTGACAAGATGGGACAAGTATGGATGGGTTTACGCAAACACTTCTCGCCGAGACTACTGCTCGCTCCGAATGAATGGTCAATCTTGCTGCGAACAGAACAGGCGCGGACGCTCCGTGCGGGTTTTCTGAGGTCTCTAATGAGGGCCCCGGTTGGTGCCACCGCGCCTGATTCTTTGGACAACACAAGGCCGAGGTGGCGGGCCTCTTATCTCGCGCAAAGCTCGATTCCAAAAAGCATTCTTTCTTGCCTCCCCTCAAACAAAACCAAAATGTTTCCAAGTATCAGATTGTGAACAAATGGTTCCCATCGTCGAGGATTGCGCTGAAACCGTGATTCTTTGCAGAGCAGAAAGTCACCGCTGTCCAAGATCATGATGGCCAAAGATGTAACCCAGTCGATCGCCGTCAATCCGACGGCGGTCTTCCACCGTTCATTGACCAAGACGTATCCAAAAGCTGTCCACGGTGATGGCGTCTACCTGCAGGATGAATACGGGCGACGAGTGCTTGACGGCAGCAGCGGTGCCGCTGTCTCTTCTGTGGGCCACAACAACAGGAAAGTTATAGAAGCAATCGTGCGACAGGCCGAAGCAATGTCTTTCGCCCACACCTCATTTTTCACCAATGATCCGTCCGAGGAACTGGCTGCCTTGATCATCGCGAAGAATCATGGGGCATTCTCAAAGGTCATGTTCCTGACATCAGGTAAATCCTCACTCGATTGTTGAGTCCGACGCATGCGCAGCAGGGTAATGGCGTTTCCCAGGCTCTGAAGCAGTCGAATCAGCCCTTAAACTGAGCCGGCAATACCATGTGTGTAACGGTGATCCCAAGCGTAACAAAGTCATCGGGCGTCAGTATGCTTATCACGGAAACACTCTCGGAGCTCTGGCCGCAGGCTTCAACCCCCAGCGTCGGGAGACGTTCGCGCCATTCTTGTGCGACACTGCTTTCCACCATGTCTCGCCATGCTCATATTCCCGAGATGCCAAGGACGGGGAGTCCGCCAGCGAGTATACCAAGAGGCTGCTTGCTGAGTGGGATCGGAAGTTCCAAGAACTTGATCCATGCACCGTCGCAGCCGTCATCATTGAGCCGGTGGGAGGAGCTACGCTTGGGAGCCCTCCAGCAGCCGAAGGCTATCTTGCGGGCTTGAGGCAACTTTGCGATAAGTACGGAGCCTTGCTTATCTACGATGAAGCTATGTATGGGATGGGCCGCGTGGGAACGTACCACGCCTGGGAAGCCCTCGGCGGCATACCGCCAGACCTCCAGGCTATCGGCAAAGGGTTGGCCGAAGGTTATCAACCGCTCTCTGCTGTCCTTTTGAACGAGAAAGTCTACACCACGCTTGCCGAAGACAGCGTCGCCCACCCCTTCGTGAGCGGACATACCTACCAAGCCCACGCTATTGGTTGCGCGGCAGGGTTGGCTGTCCAACGCATCTTGACTGATGAGAATCACGACCTGCTAGCCCACGTCAGGAAAATGGGAGTCGTGTTGACTCGGCTTTTACGGACGTGCCTGCCTTCGGAAGTATTGAAAGATATCCGGGGCCTAGGTCTGTTCCAGAGCATCGAATTCGCTTCCGTCGACCGCAGTGGCCGGCCTCTGGCAAAAGAGGTATCAGAACTATCGTTTATGAATGGTGCGGCAGTCTATCTATGCTCTAGTGCTGTGGATGCCATCATGCTCGCCCCGCCGTTCATCATCAGCGAAGAGCAGGTCAGGGAATTGGTGGATGTGGTTGTCAAGTCAGTACGTCAAGTTCTAGAGCGACGCGTAGCTGAGGAAGTATAACACTTGTAAAAGGGGAATGCGAATGGATGGGAACAGCGGACACCGAGCACACTGTAGGCCGACGCCACCTCGGCGAGCAACAGGCGTTGTGGGAGTACGGGTAAAAAGTTGGCTTGAAAAGGAAACACGATCGTCACCATGTAATCCGGACATGCTCCCGTTAGTGAAAAGCATAGATTCGCTTACTTCTCGCAAGCCGAAGGCTGAAGAGTATGGAGAATCTTTATTTGAGACTTCTCAGGAAACGACTGAATTGCTCGTCCTACATTGAATGCCCATGTGGATACCAACGTTGGAATAGATATGAATGGTGTGCGAAGACGCAAATGCCGGAAATCCGTTTTATGCGTCCTGCCCTTTAGTGCTGTCCTTCTTTTCCCCCAGCAATCTCGTCAAGATGTGTCCCTAAAACGGCCTGCCACAACGGCCTGTTCTTGTAGGCTGCCAACTGCGGCCCATAGCTGTCAACAGTCGTCCTCAATGCAAGGGCGACGTCACGGTCTTTCGTCACTTCCCTGATAGGCGTCACGTAGGTCCTGATTGAGAACACAATCGCTCTCGACTTCGGAAGGCGTTGTAGAAACTGCCTCTCGACCCGCAGGAACAAGTCGTCCAGCTCAACAGGATGTGCCCCATCAGGTTCTAAGTTATGATGGGAGTTGATGTGGAAGAGCTCCGAGCTATTGTCGATGGCGTAATTGAAACGCATAACGGGAGAATCTACTCTTAACCGTTGAAAGAAGCGATCCATCGACATCGCGAGCTTGTCTTCATACTGAGGGACTTTACCTGCATGGATTTCCCATAGAGAGAGGCCGATACGTTCCTGGAGCTTCCAGCCCGCTGTGGAAGAAGTCAGCACAAATTGAGGGGGATTGGATCCCGTGCTAGCTTACCAGGGAAGCAGTTCGCACCTGCTCGGAGACGAGTGATTCGCGGGTCTTCTTCATCTGGCTGCATAATGAACCAGTCCTCTGTAGACAGGAGGCCCATGACTTGCAGGGGGTGATAAGACTTCCAGGTGGAAGACTCCCTCCGTAAGTCCCATTTGTCTCCTGTTACCAGGTTGGCAATCCCGGTCGCAGTTGCTCGAAACATAGAAGGATAGCGCCGGGGTAACATGTCCGCCAGGAGATTCAGTGCCTCATGACAAGCTTCTTCGCTCCCTGGAAGGTATTGGATTGTCTTTTCAGGATGCTGCGTGAAGAGCTCCACTTTGTACCGATACCGCTCGAGATACTTGTGGTCAATTTCGACCCAGTCCTCCAAGCATGTCCGCTTGATGCCCATTGTGATGAAATGAGGACCATTGTGCCATGGTCTGTAAGGCGCTTCGGGTTGCGTCGTCCAGTCTAAATTCTCTTTGGGTTTGAAGTGCTCGAAGGAAATCGAGTCCCAGTCTGGTACCTTGTTAGCGCCCCCCGGTCATTCGCTTGGACCTTTGCCACTTACCTTGCTTCGCAGTCTTCTCTGCAACGCCGAGTTGTCGTGCTTGCCCTCCAGCTGAGCAGTCGGCCAGAACGACGGCTTTCCGACGTCGATCTTGGATGAAACTGAGAACGACGTAGCTGCAAAGCAGCGCAATGACCAGGAGTGAGCATGACAGGGGAGACTCACTTCCGGGCGTATTCTTCCACATTAGGAGGGCCTGGATGTTGAGCATCGTCAGGTTACGTAGGCGAACTTGTGTCAATGTGAACCATTACCCTGGGCAAACATTTTGATATCGCGCCCGGGACACCTGCAAGCCATCAAATGAAAGTCCTTATACGGCGACCCTCGCCAGAAATTTCGACAAGTTTCACCCTTCGCTGTGTCCGCAATGCGTTGTTGGAGTCGCGCTCTCGCGATGAGTGGACCCAGTGGAGATATTCACCTGCAGGTTCCAATTCGGCGTGACAAGATCCTCGCTTGTCCTTATCATTCGACGCGACGATCGTACCAAGGTTCGCTGCGAGAATTTGCGCCGAAAAGTGGTGGACAGGTCCGAGCGGTCGTATCCTTTTTTGTCGGATGGTCGCCAGATAAGACGCAGATCAAGCCATTGTCGTACAAGACGCTAGTCATACAGTATTACTTGACCTGCTCGAACCTCATTGTTGACGCTGGCCATCGACACCCCGCGTGAGGCTTGACACCACGGCTTGTCTCTGTAGTCCGTTCGCGACCATTGGACATGTTTTCCCGACCTCTACAGATATGGTGACCCCTTCGAACACAAAGACATGGTTGAAGACGCCTGTGGGATCGAACCTGCTCGCCCAAATCAGTGCCGACCCTGGATTGCCGCAGCCAAAGCCGACCGTGTCCTCGTGGCAGCTTCCACCTCACCCCGAGGTCGCCAAAATTCATTCCAAAGAACTGCCTCGCGTTACAGATTATCTGATCATAGGCTCGGGCATAGCAGGATGCGGTGTGGCCAAGACCCTGCTCGAACACCCGAGCTCAGGATCGGCGATAGTCACCGTGCTGGACGCTCGCGGATTGTGCAGTGGTGCCACTGGCCGCAATGGAGGTCAACTCGTCAAGCCATATGCTCTCCGGTTCGCTCAAGTGGCCGAATCATTCGGAGTTGAAATGGCGACCAAGGTAGCTCGTATGGCATTGCACACGTTGGAGGAAATGCATAAACTTGCGAACTCGTATGACGAAGACCTCAAGAAGGAGGCCAATGCACGAAGAGTTACAAAACGCATCGTCTATATGGACGAAGCTTCGTGGAACCGGGTGCTAGGTGCTGTCGACTTGTACGAGACTCACCTGCCAGAGGAAAAAGGGTCTTTCCGGTACGTGCCTAAGGAGCAGGTAGAATCGGTAGGTGACCCGCCTTCACACCGTCCCTAGGCCTTTCGTCCCTCTCCTTTCCCTCCGCGGCGAGTGGTCCCCCTGTTGGCTTGGCTAACACCACCATGAATCAGGAATGGAACGTGAAAGGCGGCTTTGGAGGATACCAATTTCCGGCCGGAGTTTGTTGGCCTTATCGACTGGTCACTGGTGTCTTCAAGCGCCTTTGCGACCTGTATCCGGGGAGGATCAACATCGAAACTCACACCCCCGCTACCACGATCCTCTATGATGCTGAGACGGACCCTAAATACCCATACACGGTGGTGACCCCCCGAGGCGTCATCCGCGCAGCTACCCTCGTGCACTGCAATAATGGCCACGTTGGCCATTTGCTGCCTCGCATGAGAGGTAAGATCTGGCCTATACGAGGAACGACGTCGGCTCAAAATGCTGGACCGATGTTCCCGGACCTGAGCAACAAGTGCTCGTGGACCTTCTTGTCTGACATGCATTACGACAAAGCCACTCGAACAATTCTGATGGGTTGGTGGTACGGTCTCCAAAATCCTCCTAACGGGGACATCTGGATAGGAGGGGACCACAAAAGAATCGAGGACGTCTTCACGGCCGACGATTCGACCATTGGCGATTACAACAGGGAGACCATCACCAATATTCTACCCACTGTGTTCAATCGAAAATGGGTTCCCGAAAAGCCCAAAATTAATGGAGTGTGGACGGGTGTCATGGCCCAGACGGCTGACACTCTCCCCTTTGTGGGGAAATTGCCCGACAGCATCACAGGGCGACCCGGGGGAAAGGAATGGATTGCGGCTGGATGGAACAGTTACGGCATGACCAATGGATTGACCAGTGGCGAAGCTGTGGCCAAAATGATACTCGGGGAAGCACCACCTTCATGGTTCCCTGAGGCATACTTGCCAACAGAAAAGAGGTTGGGTGGCTCGCTGATGGCGCCTGAGGCAGCCACTCTGCGTTTCTTGGAGCAGTCTGGGATAGGATCCACCTTGGAGACAAGTGAAGCACCCAGATCCAAGTTGTAGAGCAGGTGTCTCTCTTCTCGTGGCTCATGAGAAGCAGACGCTATTATATCACAACAACCGTGCGTGTGTATAGTTATCAGAATATCGCTGGGCAAAAACGCCGGGTGTTTGTGGTGTGCAAATTGGCGGCTGTGATCAGGTAGGTAGACCGAGAAGACAAAGTATAAACATCTGCATAATTAGCCCGGCTTCCAATCCATACTGTGTTCCACTCGAGAAAGCGCATTTCAACCAAAACGCGACGCCGCAAGGGAGTTAAGTAAAAGTGGTCTAGTTTGGCTACATGATCTGTAGTGCACCTTGGAGTGTGGTGCTGTCGATAGACCGGTATTCTGAGACCAGCTTAACCCATCTGATGATAAACCAGAGGACATTTCGCCCAGAGATTAACAAAAAACAGGAGAATCGTAAAGGAAAGTGTGCGCTGGGACACGTGCCCGGGTCATAAGATCTGGAGTAAATGGCATCCAGCACTCGACGCACGCAGCCCTCGAAGAGTGTTCAACAGTGTGATGGTGACAATGTATACGGTATATCGATGGTGTCCTAAGTCTCCTTCTTACAACTTGGAATGCATTTGGCCTTGGGTAGACCCACATATCTCGATGCCACGTCCCGAGGAGTTTTCCGTCCGTCTTACATGGCAATAGCTACAAATCCCACCAAGATCAATCGCCGAGCACCTGGCACAAGACTGTCGAGTCGTTCAAGCCTTTTCAACCACCCGGACCCCTTTGTCTCGTCCGATACCGACCAGTTGCAACATTTCGCGCCAGAAGCCAATGTCCTCTCCAACTAGGGTTGCTTCGTGGGCGTCGACGGCAGGACGCTCCCAGACTAGGTCCATCTCCGAAGGCTTGACAAATTTGGTGCGCTTGACAATCTTCCAGAAGCAGAATGTGACGGGCGCCAGCAGCAACAGAATGTAGTAGCTGAAGAAGGTATCATTGCTCCATGGGAAGACGAAGCTGGAGTATCCGAATGTCAGAAGCACGATCGGGAACCAGACAGCGTTGACGTATGACAAGTACGGCTGTGCCCAGCCTCGAGAAGGCAGGGTAGACCGGTCAATGCCCTGGGCCTTGAGGCCACGATAGAAGAAGATGTAAGTGATGATGATAGTCAAATAGTTGATCAGGCCACCGGCGGTTCCAAGAGATACGAGCCTGTATCGACAGTCAGCGCTTTGGTCACACAATGCAGAGAACATGGATCGATTGTCCGTACCAGTAATATACTTTGGACGAGCTATTGCTCAGTTGTAGGAAAGCAACAGCCGAGAATAGCAGGGTCGCTGCCAAACAATAGATGGGTATTCCTGATTTGGTGCACCGAGGGAAGATTTTGGGCGCCTGGCCTTGCTTGGCCAGCCCGTACAGGGCACGGGTTCCACCGTAGAGGTAGTTGTTGCCGGCGGAGATGATGCTGGTGAGAAGCAGAGCATTAATGATACTAGGCAGGGCGGTAATGCCCATGTTTCGTGCAGCTATCACATACGGTGAGGCTGCGCCGGTGCCAGCTCCGGGTTTGGTGCCGTTGAGCACGCCCAGCAGGGTCGGATCGTTGGCGGGAAGGACGATTCCGATACACAGGGCTGACCCAACGAAGAAGATGAGGAACCGCCAAAACATGGTCTTGTATGCGTTCTTGACCGTGACCCGAGGATTGAGAGCCTCTCCGGCCATGACGGAGACATAGTCCGGGCCGGTGATGATATAACTAGCCTGAAAGTAGCAAGCGAGGAAACCTTCAAACCTGCCCAGGCTACCGGTGTGGATATACTCGAGGAAAGCGCCCTGTCGTATGGATCGGGTTATCAGTATGCCATCACGAGCGGGTTTCGTGGAAACGTGGATGTTATATCTTACAGGGTTGTTCCAAGTGCGGAAGCCGTAAGCGTCATGCTGCGGATTGCCACCGACCATGGTGACGAAGGTGAAGCAGAAACAGATGGCGAGCAGCAGCACTTTTCCTGTCGAAAGCCAGAATTCAGCCTCTCCATAGTAGTTGACTGCAACCGCATTAAGCAGACTAGAAGTTCTCTTGCTCAGCAGGATATCCTCTGGAACGAGCAACACGCCCATAAAGACTCACGTATATAGCACAATCATTACGCAAATGACTGCAGCAATGGGGATGTCGTCGCGCCAAAATCCCAGGATCAGGCTTGTGCTGACCATTTCAAATGGAATTCCCAAGGCAACGTAGATATAGTAATTCCATCCGACCATGAAGCCAAGTGCTGGGTCAACCCATTTGCTAGCGTGTTGAATGAAGGCTGCCGGCACGGGCATGAAGGTGTCCATTTCGGCCGAGCAGGCAGCTGTGATGGCCTGGAACCAGATATGAATAAAGTACCCCAGAAGTAGACTTCCGGGTCCACCGTGTGACAGCGCGCCACCCATTGCGATGAACAGCGCGCCTCCAATTGTGCCGCCAATAGCGTTCAATTGGATCTGACGGTTGTTCAGGCGACGCTGGACCTTGAACGTAGCGTTGCTGCCCAAGGTCTCAGTCACAATAGCCCCAACATTGTGGCGGGAGTTGCCGTCCTGAGTTGAACTCGCATCGAGAACAGAGGTTGTGACCGTCTCCTTTTCCATGGCCAGCTCTTCGGTGGGCCCAGTGGCCTCGTTGGATATAGGTGATACCATGGCTACTCCGAGGCCTTGGACTGATTAGGACGCTCGCAAACTGACAACTGTTCTCCGACAAGGTAGCAAGGCGTGGGTCAACACCGGAGTTCAAAAAAGGTCACATAGGTATTCTGCGGACACGGAAGAAGTTTCTCGAAGTCTATTACCCTTGTGCACCTGTAGCTTTATACTGAAGTACTTGGTGGTTTCTGGGTTTGTGGTATTTCAGCTATCAGCCTCTGGCAAAGGCTGAAGTGTAGATAAACTCGTCCCAGTCAAACCGAATTGCATGAGCGCCCCAGACCCGCTCATGATAAAAGCTAAGGTCGCATCAAGGCTGAGCAGATATGCCCCGTTGCCTAGTGCCTTTGTTCGCTGCGAACAAGATCGGGCGCAATCGGCATTGGTCTTATCATGTGGGGCTCGCGTGAAAAACTGACAACAAATTTCAAGGCCAATCAGAACAGGTAACGTCAATAGATGGATAATGTCAAGCCTTGGTATAGTACATTGACCACCTCTCTGAATTGGCAGACAGGCTGAGTGAACCTGAAGACATGGCTACACACAACTATCTCGAAGCGTCGGCAATTGCCCAGGAGAGGAGGGCGGCGAGCATTGCCGCCTATTACGAAATTCCTGCATGGTGCGAGGAAAGGTTACCACACAACTTGACCGATTTCTCTCTTCGGCCAGGCTCTTACTATACCGATCACGAAGTCGAGATAATTCGATCGGAGGCCAATGTTATCCTCGAGAAGATCAAGGGCAAGATATGGACAGCCCTAGAAGTTGCAAAGGCGTTTTGCAAGGCTTCTGCTCTCGCTCAGGAACTCGTATGGCTCTCGTTCTCCGAATTCTAGTCCATGTCTGCTGATCATACTAGACGAATTGTGTCACAGAAGTCCTGTATCCAGAAGCAATTCAAAGTGCGCAGTTTCTTGATGACTACCTCTCCCGGACAGGAAAGACCGTCGGGCCACTACATGGTCTGCCCATTTCGTTGAAGGACTGTTTTGTCACAGCGCCTCATCCTTCTAGCAACGGGATGGCAGCATTCGCGAATGAGCTAACCTCGAAGGATAGTCTACTTGTGACTATACTACGAGACCTTGGTGCTATATTCTATGTCAAGACAAACGTCCCCGTTGCAAGGATGATGGCCGAAACTAACAACCATGTCTGGGGTGAGACTCGCAATCCACTGCATAAAAAACTTAGCCCAGGGGGGTCGAGTGGCGGAGAAGGTGCGCTAATAGCGTTGTATGCATCACCACTGGGTGTCGGGACCGATATTGGTGGTTCTGTCCGCATTCCATCCGCTTACTGCAATTTATTTGGCTTGAAGCCAAGTTTCGGCCGATATCCTCACTACGGTGCAAGGCCAAGTATTCCAGGTCAGGAATTTATTCTAGCGGTTAACGGCCCCATAGCTCGGTCAATTGAAACCCTGCGACTCTACTCCGAGGCAGTCCTATCGGAGCAAGCTAGACCCTGGGAATATGACATTAAAAGCCTGCCAATTCCTTGGAGAAAAGACGTAATACAGCCACCTGGTCGTCGAATGAGGTTTGGTATTATCAGTACGCACGACGGACTCGTGCACGTTCATCCCCCGGCCGAACGAGCTCTCGCCAATACGAAGGCGGCCCTAGAGAAACAGGGTCATGAGATTATTGAATGGTCTACTGAAGACCATAAGGATTTGATTCGGGTACAAGATATATGGTGAACTACTCTTGTTCATGCTAACGGAGTTTCACTAGGAATTTGACGACGGACTCTTCAACTTAGGTGGAGCCGCAATCATGGACCTCGTTAAGGCATGGGGGGAGCCTGTTTTTCCTTGTATGCAGGGCTATGCTCTCGCTGCTGAAGCAGAAGAAATATTAGGAGCCGCGACAATAAGGTCCATGGTCGTCAAACGGAACGAACTCCAAAAGGCCTATCTGGATCGTTGGAACGCCACCGTAACGGAGGGAAAGCCCCGAATTGATGGTATCATCTGCGCGACAGCCCCATGGACGGCACCTCGACTTGGACAGACACAACAGAATTTCTACATTGGATCTACCAGTTTTGTGAATTTCCTGGGTAGGTGTTTTCCCAAAAAGTCAACCTCTGAGGGCTTTACTCACCAGCCTCCCAGACTTCTGTGCTTGCACCTTCCCGGTCACATTTGCAGACAAGGAGCTTGACAAAGCTAGAGATCTCGGTTCTAACTTCGCGCCCTTGACGGATCTCGACGGTAGAATCCAGGCCGATTACGACGCTGAGTTTTACCACGGAGCACCAGTCGCGTTGCAGATTGTCGCTCGCCGCCTGGAAGAGGAGAAGTGCCTTGAAATGTGCGAAGTGATAGACGCCGCTCTTAAAGCATCATGATTATCATAGGGTAACTTCTAGAGGCATCCTACCTATATAGGCCTATACTAGAACCTAAGGATCACGTCGGAGCGTAGTCTACCTAGCGTTGACTAAATTAGATTACGACCTAAGTTAGCTTAGTAGTACTACTCTATTACGAACCGCCTTAGACCTTAGTCAAACGACCATACCTACTATCAGGGAGGAAACTATACTAACCTCATGAGGGAAAAGGACATAGCCTGAGTATAGTAGAAGTACTTAGTGGCGCTTAGTTCGCTAGGGACTAAGTAGTACTAAGTGTAGTATACTAGGTTAGGTAAAGCGCGCTTAGTTATAATTAGTCTCCTTAGTACTAAGTATGACTAAGTAACACTAAGTACGAGAAAGTATTCAACTAGGGCGAGGCTCTTAGCTAGAGGTATTAACTCGTACGGCGGTGGGCATACTAGTAGGGGTAACGGCTATCGCTCAATAATAATAATAATAATAATAATATAGAAGGTCCTAATTAGATAGGTTCTATAACTAGATAGATAACTTAATTACTCTCTACTCGTACATC